AACCTTTACCGATATCAAAACGCCGGATGGAATGAGAGCGGTGAGAGTAAGACAAACTTTGAAGTTTGTATACCCCTTAAATTAATCATGGGGTTTGCGGAAGATCATCGCAAAATTATAATAAATTCTCGTCAAGAACTTATATTGCATAGATCTAGTGTGGATATTAACGCGTTAAAATGTGAGCGAGGCAACGGTAAAATAAAAATCGCGAAAATTATGTGGAGAATGCCGCATATAAACGTTGAGGATGGTGTTAGATTGAAACTTTTGAAGACGTTAGATTCTCGTCAACCACTTTACATTGCTTTTAGAAGCTGGGAATTATTTGAACATCCATATTTACCACAAACAACAAAACATTCGTGGGCCGTTAAAACGTCAACGCACACTGAAAAACCTAGATATGTGATTATAGCGTTTCAAACTAAACGTAAAAACATTATATCTGCAGACATGAGTCGATTCGATCATTGTTCTCTATCATCGCTCAAAGTTTTTTTAAATTCAGAGTCTTATCCATATGACAGTTTAAACATCGATTTTGATAATGATAAATATTCAGCGTTGTATCAAATGTATTCATCATTTCAAGATACTTTCTACAATATCGATAATGGTGATCCTATTTTGACTAAAGATGAATTCAAAGACACTGCACCTATGGTTGTTATCGATTGTTCGAAACAGAATGAAAAAATTAAAAGTGCACCTGTAGACGTTCGAATTGAATTCGAAACCAAGATTCCTATACCAAAAGATACGTCAGCATATTGTCTTATATTATATGATAAAATTTTCGAATAAAACGCTGACAAGTGAAGTACATAAGGTTGTTTAATCTAATAAATAAAACAAATTATGTTATAATATATTTTTTTTTTTTTATTATTATTACACATACAATTTTCATACATTATTCAGTGTAATATTAAACCCTATTAAACAAAAGAAGCACTCACTTCCAACCCAGAATCCTCATCTAATCAATACAAAAGATTTAATATTCAAACTTCTCGTTTCAGAACTAACTAAACAAAAATACGTTACTTTTTACACATGCACCCAGTTCACTCTTTGATTTATCATAAGTTTGTCATAAAATATAAAAGTATTAACATATTTTTCACTTAAGATTGTTGATAAGTACTCATTGGGATACATAATTATGCATTCATACTCACACGATCAGAATAAACACATAAAGTAAAATGAATGCGACAATGTGGTAATAACATTTCTGCACATGTTTCACTCTTTTGTTAATACTGGAAAANGTTTAACTCTTTTGTTAATACTGGAAAAACGTGTCTCAAACGAAGTTAGACACTAAAACTAGGGACGAACTGTTCTCACCATTTCGTTGGTTTACAAACAATCGGCCATATGTAACAAAATATTTACACTCTAAATCTCCAGGAAACATTATATCCAAATATCACAAAAGACTTCTTATCACACAATTTATTACTGTATCTTATTAATAATCAGAATTATAAACCAAGTTAAACATATAACACATGCACTCTTAGATTGTAAACATTACATTGTAATATCACTGATAATGAATGTTAACCTTATCCATCTGATAATCCAAATAATTATGTATATTTAGTAAAGATTATACGAACATTATTAAATATAAATATTATATTCTTTGTAANCCATCTGATAATCCAAATAATCTTATTATATAATAGAACAAAAAAAAAACGCTTTTCTGGGAAAATTACTTAGCGTGCTCGGATTTTCAAAAATTTTTTTTTCAACGAAAGTACTCGGTCACCAGACTCCGGGAAAATAATTGGCGAAGGTCGGAAAATTTTTGCCGCTTGCCCGCGAGCGTTTTAAAATTTCGACCGTTTTCGAGAAAAACGCTCGCTGACGCCAGCGTTTTACGACTTAAGGTTTGAAATTTTCATCAGACCCGCCCAATGACATTCCTGAGATATGATAAAAAAATCAATTCAATCCGTTCATTTTTCACTGTTTTACGAGCTTTTTTTTTTTTTTTTTAAGTCCACGCGCATGGTTTTATTATGCGCAGTGATTCATTTCTGCTGATATGTATTATGAACCTTAATTATATGGTGTATTATGTATTATTATTAAGACACTATTTTGCAATTGCCCTATTTTTATCAAGGAATAATTTTCTTTTTTCACATATATGATGTATGAGACTATGAGTTTATCTTTTGAATTGGGGTTCATCTATGATAACTATGATGTTCATCGTTAAATCGCAGTTACTAATATATTTATCAAAATTAAATTTATATTTTTATTTTTAATATTAATTTTATTTTAATATTAATTTTAATTTAAATTTACAGTGTGCCACTTATAATAACCTGCTAAATTTTTTTTTAATTAATCTATAATTTAAAAACAATTATTATAATTAGATTATTAATAATTTTTGTGTATAACAGGGGTGTAATTAAGAGAGATTGGCCCCTCCTTGAACAAGCGCTAGCAATATTTTTTTAGGCAACTTCTAATATATAAGGACTGAATGTCCTTTTTTTTTCATCAGTACTTTAATTTTAGCAAAAAAATTTCTATAACATGTTTAACAAAGTAAAAAATATTAAATTTCCTCCTAAAATAATTTTTGAATAGGCCTAAAGGGAATACCTCATTAAGAGGCTTCAACCTTATACCCAATACATTTTACTATATTCTCTTTTTGAATTTTCCTGATTTTAATAATAACATTTTTAGATATAGTTTTCTATAGTTTTCACTGATTCTGAAGTAATATTTTTTCTGAAAAACACTTATCGTGCCCGGCGTAGCCGGGTACTTCTACCGGAATCAGTGGCCTACTTATGATGACGGCCCGAAGAGACTTACGCGCCGAAGGCGCGTAAGGCTCGAAGGGCCCCGGGTCTGGGGCGGAGCCCCAGCTAGGCGAAGCCTAGTTATGTATATTTAGTAAAGATTATACAAACATTATTAAATATAAAATATTATATTCTTTGTAACAGATAAACAAATTAACAATAATAAATCTGTATGATTTTAACTTGTAAGTTTTAAATAAATATGAATTACTATTGATTGTACTATGATTATATGTTAAAATTTAAATAACTGTTTTCAGCTATCCAAAATAATTTTATTACAAATGTCTATTAATGTAAGAATTGTATTTTATTTATTTTACATTATTATTACTTTGAATCACTCTTGTATTTTATAATTAGTATAATTCAAATTTATTTTATCTAACTTTTAACTTTAAATTTAATTTATATTCGTTCGTTCAGTATTTTAAATTATAGTTTTATTATTTTATAATCTTAAAGTATTTTTTAAAAGCCTCAATAATTATTATTTTTATTTAAAATATACTTATTTCATTTATCTATTTTATCAATACTAATATATCATTATATTTGATTTTAATATACTAACTTTTGAATAATTTTACTTTTACTAACAATTATTTTAATCTAATTTATAATTTTCATTTATAAAAATAAATTTTGACATTCCAATTNATTATTATCATTTTTTATCTAAAATATACTTATTTCATTTATCTATTTTATCAATACTAATATATCATTATATTTGTTATTAATATACTAACTTTTGAATAATTTTACTTTTACTAACAATTATTTTAATCTAATTTATAATTTTCATTTATAAAAATCAATTTTGACATTCCAATTCAATTTTTAATCACATTATATTACACTTTTACTACATTATATATATATAGTATGACAAAATAGAAAGGGGTGCATTTGTAATATTATATTATTACATATAATATTAGTATACAATAAGATGTTATCATTTGTTCATGTATGTCACATATTATGATTATACAAGATCACCAAAACAGGGTTCTCTTATTTAAGATACAAAATAACCCTTTAATTATACAATAAAATCTCCCTCTTGTAGAAATTATTAAGTAACGCCTACACGCAGGGACCCTCTTTTAATTAACCAATTACAATACAAAGCCTCAGCTTCTAGGATCACGATAGAGATCGCTGGGCTACCCCCTTCACACTATAAAAAGCCATTTTTCCCCATCTAAACCAGTTCTTTTGACGATTTTAAAATACACAAAATCTACGACACTCTACTCAAGATTTCACTCTCCGGGACTTAGTCGATTTTTTAATTAATTTGGACTTAGAATATTTTTCTTTAAAACTAAATGACACTTAGAAATTTTAAAGTGAATTTTGTTTTGGTGAATCTTTTAATTTAATTTAATTTGTTCAATCATTAATAATATTTTATTTTTCTTGTTATGAAAATAAACATCAAATAATATTTTAAACATTACATCTTTTTAAAATTATTTTATTACACAGGACGTAAGGTAAGTACAATTTAACCTATGCTTTCGAACTTCCAACAATCTATTGCGTGATAAACCATTAATAATTAATGAGAGAAACAATTAATGAGAAAATTAATTTAAATAAAATTGAAGACATTAAAATTACAAAAACTTATAATAAATAATTGATTATAATAATCTACTAAGCAATCCCCTAATTTCTTTTTATATTTAACCCTTCTTTTCCTTTTTATATTCTCTCTAATTTTCTATCACCTTCTTTTTTTATTTTCTTTCTTTTTATTTTTGGTTTATTACATCAGTTGTAATTCTATTTCATTTAATATAATAAATTTATATGTTTACATTTGTACACTATTTTAAATATTAGATTTACAATAAGTATTTGAAAAATTACTTAATATTTTTTTCTTCCAATGTTCCCTTTCAAATTCATTAAAGACTTGAAGTGAGAGCTCATCTACCTCTTTAGCATATTCTTCATCGTCGAATTCGGGATTCCAGATTCTAACGTCTTCTGCAATACGTTAATTATTTTTATTAACTTTTCTCAATCAGTTAAATAATTTTTTTTACTTACTCATCATTTCTTGAAGATCTGATGTATTTACATTATCAACCCATGTTCCCTGTGTCACAAGANTCTCAACCCATGTTCCCTGTGTCACAGATCGATTAAGTTTTCTTCCATATCGACGTCGGTCCATGGATTTAAACCTGAATGAATACATTCTCCTTCTTTCTTATTCGTTTGATTCTATAATTATAATCAAAACTGGTTAAAATTTTAAATAAAATATTAAACACATACCGTATCATATAACCAAGATTGCTGTTGCCCTGCATCAATCATAGAGCATGTTATTGGATCTTCATTTATAACATTAATTTGATACTCATCCATGGACCAAATTTCAGAAAATAATTCTTGCGAAGACTAATTATTGAATTCAAAGTTAATGAGTTTAAAATTCAATTAAAAGATAAATTAAAAAAAACTTACCATTTCTTGAGAAAACTGATCTATTTTAATATTGTTTAAAATATCGTAAAATTCTTCCTCATCAAGTACAGGTGATAGAGGTTCAGTCTTCATATTGTGTAATTTATAAAAAAATTCTTCGGTATCAATACTTTGCGATGACATGATGCTTGTATTGATTTAACTGAACGACTGTGGCCACAGATTGTCATACAATCTTACAGTAGAATTTCAAAATGATGATTTATCATTTTTAATTACTCTGTGATTGGATGAAAATTTGTTGACGATTTTAAAAACATTAACAGGAGGGGTTACAAGAGATAATTATGAATTTCTTAGAAGTATTCTCATTTTTGAAATTTGCTGATTACATTTTATTTTAAATGTAAATTGTGTAACTTACATTTCACACAAAGTAAAAGAAAAACATTTTTCAAGATTCCATATCATTATGGTTTTATATTTCACCACGTGGAACACATTTTTTATATGCGTACTGTACACATGATGCAGTATCTTATATTATTTTGTTACCCAGAAACAAGAAATGATTTTAAACATACGTATCTGCAGATTAAAATTTACAAATGATATATTATTTAATCGCAAACCCAAACATTATAAAACAATATGTAGTATTGCAAACGATGAATGGGTTTATAGAAATAATTACAACCAACTGCGTTGAAATAATTTAACTTTATTTTCATAAATAACATTTTTACAAATATATTTACAGTTTTTCATTATTTTTTAATTCTTCATCACTGCTATTATTGTTTTCATCTATAAAATCAATTAGATCGTTACAAGTTTCCCATTTTTGAATATGTGCAAATGTATTTAATGCATTGATGCTTGTATTCTCTCCATCAGTTTCGTCTTCACCCCAATTATTGTTTTGGTTAAAATTAATATTATTTCTAAAATAATNATTATTGTTTTGGTTAAAATTAATATTATTTCTAAAATAATAGATTTAATTTAATAATTTATTATATAAATTAGCGTTAATACTTACTCGCTACTTGTGCCATTCTATGAATAATAGCACAAGTAGCGAGTAAGTAATATCCTAATTAAAATATCCTGATTTGTTTGTTTTTTAAAGTCTCTTACGAATTGATCCCATATGCGCTTCACTATACATTTGTAATCGAATGTGATTATTTCATTATACAATACCATCGAAGTTTTGGGCAATAACGATGTGTTAATGTTTTTTACAATCGTAAACACTAAGTTTTCAGGTAACATTAAAAACTTATTTATCACCATATCTTTTGCTTTTTCATAGATTTCTTTACTTTGCATTGAGAGCAAGTAACAAGTTTCGTATTTTTCTTTTACCACTTCCACAAGACATTGTTTCATTTCTTTTATTTCCATTAGGTTTTCTACGGTTAGCGATACACGACCCGTTTTCTGTTGTTCAACACCTCTACCCGATATGGATAGATAATTTTTCGAGAAACATTTTGACTTGACGATATTAAACTCCGTACTCAAATATATTTTTGATTTACAAGAATCGTCCATGAACGATATTAGTTCGCCGATAATGTTCAAAAAGTTTATAAAATAGTCTGCCGACATCCAAAAGTACATACTTGGTGTTATGATTATTATAATCGGAACGTATTGATCAATTACCCACGTGCAACCGATATGTAGAAATTTTCGCTCGACGAAACTCAAATTGAAGACCGACGTTGCTAGTATAGAAAACTCAGGTTGAGGTTGATTCCGAATAGTCATTCTTATATCTTTTCCTCCAGTTGTCATTTTCATCATGCTCATCTTGAATATCACGATGTTATACTTCACTGATTACACACACGAGTAAGAAAACGAAGATACAATACGATTGATTTTCACGAGCGATTGTGTTTTATACCAATATTAAATAACAGGAGTGGGGGAAGAATACAATCATCTTTGAAGTGGGTGGTTGTGAGGCGCTATTATTTGTTATCAAATTGAATTTTTATTTTGATAAGGGAGGCGCTAATAATTTTGAAAAGTGAGGCGCCGGA